AACTAACTAACTAACTAACTAACTAACTAACTAACTAACTAACTAATTAATTAATTCACATTACTTGAAAATATTTTAATGTATTTTCTTACATGTGCTTACAAGCAAATCCAGGCATGTATATGTCTTACATTAATCCAGAAAAGTCTAGATCTTAGGTCAGAAAGGATAAGAAGTCATGTTTTTAATATTATTATATGCTTGTTTATTTGTTTGCTTGTTTTAATTCTGCAATTTTTTTTCAACATAGATTTTTAATTCTGCAGTGAGTCACCTTGGGTCCCTATCCTAGGAGAAAGGCAGCATAAAGATGAAATAAATAAGTAGGCTTTTAAAATGTGTATTGGACCTTTGTTCAGAAATGACATCTTCAGTTCAATTTAGAATCACAACTTTCAGGGTGAGATATAGAAAGTATGCAAATAAAATCCAGGTTTCAGCAAATCCTATTCAGTTATCCCTGATGCTCAAGGCAAATAGATTTTAGCACTTAAATTTTACTAATTGTTCAGGTCATGAATGTGTTTTTAAAACAATAATAATAATAAAAAAGAAAAACAAGACAATTCTAAATGACATACTAAATTACACTGGCTAATACATTTAATTGATCCAGCGCAAAACCAGGTACAGTATATTTAATTCCATTTACCTCAAGTCTCCAGTATCTTAAACACTTTGTTGCATTAGGTTGCATTCTTGATAAAATAGCTCTATTTGATTAGTATTTATAAGCTTCTCTTGCCTCCGCAAAGATGGGTGTCTCGTGTTGGAATTCTTCTTAAGGCATTTTTCACTTCTTTGTTGCGAAGGCTGTAGATTGAAGGATTCAGCATTGGGATGACCACAGTGTAAAACACTGAAGCCCATTTGTCCTGATCCATGGAGTAGCTAGAACTAGGTCGCAGGTACATAAAGACGGTTGTTCCATAGAAGATGGTGACTGCCACAAGGTGAGAGGCACATGTTGAAAAAGCCTTTTGTTTCCCATCTGTGGAGTGGATCTGCAGGATTGCTGAGAGGATGAATGTGTATGTCACTGCAATTTCTGCTGAGGTGAATATGCCCAGGACGGTGGCAAACATAAAGAGCACCATTTCGTTGATATTAGTGTCAGTGCAAGAAAGAGCTAGCAGAGGGGGAATGTCACAGAAAAAATGGTTGATGACATTGGAGCCACAAAAAGAGAGTGTAAAGGTGAGAATGGTGTGTGTCGTTGCATTCACAAAGCCTACAAGGTAGCATCCAGCCACCAACAGAGTGCACATTTTTGGGGACATGGTAGCAGTATATAAGAGAGGGTTACAGATAGCTACATACCGGTCGTAGGCCATTGCTGCCAGGAGGATGCACTCTGTACTTGCACAGAAGGTAAAGAAATACATCTGTGCAGCACAGCCTGTGTATGAAATAGTTGTTTTCTTGGCTAAAAAATTCTCCATCATTTTAGGTGCAATGGCTGAGGAATATCCGAAATCTAAGAAGGCCAAATGACTGAGGAAAAAATACATGGGTTTCTGGAGCTGAGGGTCAATCCAGATTAAGACAACCATGCCAAGATTCCCAATAAGAGTCACCAAATATATTATCAATACCATGACGAAGCACAGTAATTTCATTCTGGGATTCTCCACTAATCCCAAGAGGACAAACACAGTCATATTTGTGTAGCTTCCCTCAATCATTTGTGGGTTTTTTCCATGATCTGTCAATACTTCAGAATTCAACATGTTGAGGAAATATTGCCTGTAATGTTAAAATGTTCTGAGTTAGCAAGAAATTACATTTTCAATCCAGAACCTTCAGGGTAGAATAAATTGGGCTGCTGGTGTTGATGAGGCAGAGAAAAATGCAAAGCAATAAAGTCTAGACATAGAATTCATTAACTTCAATATCTTGGAAGGGTAGGATGAGCTGGGCATGAGTTACGTCAGCCCATGTGCAGCTATAACATAGCAGATTTCTATGTGGAATTGTTTTGAGACCAAGAATCCTCTTTTGCAGTGGTCTAGGCTCCATGTCCATATCCTATATATATGGTAAATCTATTTACAAGCATGGGCTCCATGTAAGCCCCCAAGAGTGAAGCTTTATAGTATCCAGAGATTAATATGAATGAGCTCCAAGATACATAACAAAGAGGATCCCAAAGTCAATCATTCCAATCATACCAAGAAATTTCAGAAAGTTGTGAAAATACTGCCCTGATTTGTGCATTAGCCAGTACAACAACGGCAGTGGCAAAAAGACAGCAAAACCTTGAGATAACAGTATTTCTCAAAGTGCTTGTGTTTGTTGCTGAACAATGCCCAGTGTGTTTCAGAAAACATTGCAACCCCAGGCACTCCGCTGAAGATGCTGGTGCCACATTCTGGCCTCAAAATATGTTTTATGCATTTGACTCCTTGGCACTACAATGACATGACAACATAATGGAAAAGGAGCATGTTATTATCATGAAATATCACAGTCTTTTCACCCACGCTCCTTGGCTAGTGTCAACATAAAGCAACTGAGTGTGTCGTATAGCATGCAACATAGATGAGGCAGGGAGATTCTAGTTGTCGTGAGTTTGGTTTTGTCTGAAGAGTCACTTAACAAGCCCACATAGGAGTGGCAGACATCACAACAACATGCAGCAAGTTGTAAGATGAAACAAGCTGAGGGGCGGCGGAAAGAGGTAAGAGTAAGACCGGTGTGGAAGGGGCACACGCGGTTAGAATTGTGGTTAGAATTGCACAGGCAAGAATTCAGCACATGCAAGGAATTGGCCCATTCTATTTCTTACCTCTCTGTTGGGTTTTGGTGTACACTAATAAATCTGTTTGGCCTGAAATGCAATAGAATATATCAAAGCTATATCAGTTTCAAGACATTTTCTGAAACATCCTGAATTTTGTGGAACAACTAACATAAGCACTTTGAGAAATACTTTTCTCACTTGAATTTGTTGTTTCTCTTTAATTCCTTCCCTAACTCTTTTTCATGACATCAATAGGACATATTCAAGACCCTGCCTTCATCCTGCATGTAGGAGATGTCTGCTGTGGACTATTTTGGCAGACAGTCATGAAGAACCCCTGTTTGTATGATCTGTCCCATGTAAATCCTGCTTATCCACACTCTCTTATCTGAGACACTGGAGATTTGCTGCCAGTCAGACTAAACAATTCTTTATCTTTCTGTGCAGCTGGATATCCGTGCGGGGACCCAGCTCACACTGCAAGCTATTTGTATAATAGAAAAAAGCAAGGCATAGAATCACAGAACTGTCCCTCTGGAAAGGATACTAAGAACCATTGAGCCCTACACCCTGTTGAAGCAGAAATCCACAGCTTAAGCATCCCTGGTAGAAGTCCATCCTCTCTTTCAAAACCTCAGTTGAACGAGAATCCACCACCTTGCAAGAATCCACCACCTTGCAAGACAGTTCTCATGGCTAAGGTGTTCTTTTTAATGCTTTGTCAAAATCTCCTCTCTTGTAACTTGAAACCTCTACGGTCAGCTCTGCCCTCTGGAGCTACAGAAGATGAATTTGCTCCACATCACAGCTTTTCACATATTTGAAGGGGGCAAGCATTTTGCTCTCAATCTTCTCTTCTCCTGGCTGAACGTGTCATGCTGTAGCCACACTAGTTTAGTTAAATGAACCAGAGCACGGGGTCCAGACATATGGACTGAGATATTCAGTTCCAGGTTCAATCAAAATAGTTGAGCTTGTTGTTAAAAGCTCTTTAACACTTTAGTATTTACAAGTGTAACCAAACATCACCAGCCCAGTTTTTCTTAAATTGTCTATACGTACCAGCTGTGTTAGTATAAGGCACATTTTCTACTACAGAATCACAGCGAATCTTATTAGTTTCTCCAGTCTACAGTACTCAGTACTCCAGTCTACAGTACTGTACTCAGTTTACATACTGCAAGAGAAGGCAATTTGTTTCCTGAAAAAATATTGTATTGACTCACCCTAGTTCTTAACCTTCACGGGATGTGGACCTTTTAAAGGCAATATGGATAGTGATGGAATATCACTCTGGACCTCTGGAGAGTCCTTCTTGTCTAAGCCTAGTGTGTGATGTCAAAGCAGCATTCATATAGAGGCTCTTGGAGACCTCTTGCATGGGGAATGTCCCTTGAGATGAGATCTCCCAATTCTGCTCTTAGCAAAGTGATTCAATTTATACTCAAGGGCTGAGCGCTAAGTACACTAATGTGATGTTTTTTGCAGAGGCAGTTAAAATGCTTGGCACGACTTACAAAATTTTATTAAGATGCCCATACTATGCAAAATGTGTGCTCAGTAACAATCCTATCTAAAAAGTCAACAAAGATGTTCCCCAAAAGTTGCCACTGCTCTCATACCTGTTGGATGCCTTTTGTGGATTTTCAAACTGTTTTACAAGTGACAACACAACTTTTTGCTTCTGTACATTTATTAGTTGAACCTACGAGGGTCTCTTGGTCTCACCCTTGATGTCTATTTGGTCTGTAGATACTGGTCGTATGCCTTGCTTGGCAGAAGACAGTCCTCTCTTACAAGGGCCATCAGATGACAACCCTCCATTTCAATCCTCTGCAAAGGGCTGATTGGTCCAAGTCTAAGTTAAAGCTAAACAAACCTAAAAAGCCAAAAGAATGGGGATAGTGAAGTGGCCCAACAAGAGCTGGACAGCAGACTGACCAGACATGCACATTGCCTGGTCACAAGTTCTTCACTTATGTTGCAGGGTAGCGCATTTCTGTTTAGCCTGAGTTATTATTTCCAAATCAGTGGAATCAACCAAAACAAAACCAGGAACAGATTGTGCCAATGATCATGAATGGTTAATATCCAACATTTTAAAAAGCTGAAGAGGAACACTAAAAGAATTGTAGTGCCGAATGTAATTCAAACAACATTTCTGATGAATTTTAAGTTCACATAAGGAACAGATCTGCATAACTAAACTCAATTGACTATGAACTAGAAGAAATGTGGATTGAACCCAGATATATTATTAGGGAAGAATGAAAAAAGAGGACCGAATATGGAGAGACAGGATGATCTCTGACAAAGATGTCAGACAAGGGTGCATTTTATCCCTTTACCTGTTCAGTCTGTACACAGAACATACAGTGTTTCCCTGAAAATAAGACATGGTCTCATATTAATTTTTGCTCCAAAAATGCATTAGGGCTTATTTTCAGGGTTTGTTTGTTTTTGTTAATTGTACAACAACCTACATTTATTCAAATAGTCATGTCATCTTCTTCTGGTTGCTGCACAATGGTGGAGAGCGGGGTTTCACTTAACTGGGGCTTATTTTTGGGGTAGGGCTTATATTACAAGTATCCTGAAAATTTGTACTAGGGCTTATTTTCAGGTTAAGTCTTATTTTCAGGGAAACGGTATCATATGGAAAACCAGAGAAAAAGAGGATTCAGAGAAAAGAGGATTGAAAACTGATGGAGAAACATCAATAAGCTAACATATATAGATGACTTAGTGGCAGAAAGCAGCAATTGATTGAAATTACTTTTAGAGGCTCTTTCAAAGATCAACAAAATAACATGAAAATGGAAAAGAGCCTCATTCATGTTTTGGTCTTTTGTTGCAATACAACACATCTGTCTCTATTCTTAATTTTACCATTTGAAAAAAAAAACACTAGTCTATTTCTCTTTCATTGCAATTTTACTTCTCTGCTGTTTGACTATGCTCTCATAAGAAGAGAAGATTCCCTGGAAAAGACCCTGATGTTGGGAAAGATGGTTGGACAGTATCATCAAAGCTACCAACATGAATTTGACCCAACTCCAGAAGGCAGTGGAAGACAGGAGGGCCTGGCATGCTCTGGTCCATGGGGTCATGAAGAATCGGAGACGACTTAACAACTAAACAACAAGAAAAGTTGGTGTGTTATGAGCCACAGAAAAATGGCAGGAAGAAAGAAAACTCCTCTGTGCTGAAAATGTTGAGCCAAGGAAGACTCCCAGGAGTCGAAACTTGAAGTCCATAGTCAGAAAGGGAAGTTATGCTCTGGCCAATGGTCATGTTGTCTGGGGGATTCTGGGGGCTGTAATTAAAAGAAGTAACTTTTTTCAAGGTCAAGGGAGACCTTATCATTGTATATGGGGATGTTAAATGATGGGTGCCAAAAGTCTCAATTACTCCAACCTTCTGTTTTGGTGACAACGAGAATGCTGACCATTATATCTGAAGTAATGTCACAAGATAGGCCACCTCCTCCAATCTGGTGTCTTCTAGTTGTGATGAACTACATCTCTCATATTCCCCAACCAGCATACTCAAGTGGATAATGGGCTACTAAATGACAGTGAGACCCCTCCTTGGAGCTCACATAGAAGATAAGTGTTCTTGTTGTCCTTCTGTCCCGCCCTCCCTCTTTCCCATAGAAAACTATGCTATCTAGAACAATAATGTGGGGGAAATTAACACGCATCTTAGTAAAACATCATTTTTCAGGCTTTCTTAGAAACAAAAGACCCTAAAGTTTTACTCAGGATAAACTTTAATTTAGGACACTCTTATATTAAGTAGGTCCAGAATAGGACCTGCTTTAATATAATGAGCAGCCCTGACACTTCTTCTTACTACATACTTCTTAGGTTTTGGCAGCTTTCCTTAAAAACTACATTCAGTCCTCTTCTGGTAGCTAAAAATGTCTTCACAGCCACCATGGTAACCAGTCGCCAGTCTCTCCCCCCCGCCCCCCAGTTTTTAGGATATAATTATCTGATTGATAATTATTTCTTGTCTGGTGTAGAAATGAGATGATTCTTCCTTCCTTCTCTTCCTCCCTGGGTTATCCCATGGGGGTTCATAATACAGTGTGCCATCCATCATGGGATGATAATAGAACACATGCTTAACCATTCTGGCAGAATCTACAGGATTTGTCATTGCTCCCAGCACTTATCTGAGACTTATATGAAAAATAATGGTAAAGCTTTTACATTTGATTTTTTTTTCTGGGCCCGATCGGATGCAGACTGCAGAAGGAATGACCAAAGTAGTTGCGCCCTTTGTTGATATTTGCTGTGTACCGTAGTACTAAAAAAAATGCAATACTGTACTAGGTAGTTTGCGAACTGCAGCCAGTTCCCAAAGACCAAAGGGGAAAAATGGAGAGGAAGGTTAATTGTTGCTCTTTGAAGAGCAATTCCCAGGACTGGGGTAGTCAGGTGGATGAGGAACAGAATCTCAGGAGGCATCAAATGACATTGCTTAAAATCTCTTCCTCTTCCTATAGACACCGAAAGTTGGGAAGGTGATGCTCACTGACTCCAGGTACGTTTGGCGACTGATTTTTCTTTTACTACAAGGGCAGGTACTTGTTGTGCTACCATAAAGAATGTTTTGCAGTCACATGACTATGGCAGTCTGCTTGGATTTTGATACTGAGATGGCTAGAATATTATCATCTTAATGACTGAGGCTCTTCAGATTCCTATTAGTTCACAGTTCCAAAATGTTAGACCTCCTTATGATCTAATTCTGTGTAGTGATCTTGCTGTCAAAAAACCCACAGATATCTGAATTTGCCATAGAGCACTTTCCACATCTGTCATCTTAGCAATGTGAAAGATATAATTGTATGCATCTTAAAATGACCAGAACTGAATCTACTATTGATTAAATTACTCAGTGAATAGTAAGTATCTCATATCAATTGTAGGAAATTCTACCAATTTTGTCTTTAGCTTCACATTATGATACTGTATAAGATTTATATTGTATGTTTTTAAGGTTTAAAGCAGTAAATAGCAGAAGTACAGTATATTTACCATATTTTTACCATATGTTTTTACTATATTTTACCATATTTTTACACAATTAAATAATCTGAGTAACAGTGGTGGCTTAGAACATTGTAAAATAGCTAAGGAAATAACAGTACAATGGGTTTTGTAGTATGAATAATTTTGGCTCCTGTACGGCTCTCAAAAAACAACAACGCCACGCTGACTGGGACTCCAAAGGATACAGATTTTCTTTCCTGCCTTTGTCAAGGAAAAGTAAAAAAAAAAAAATTGGATATAGGATTCAGCGGGAATTGACAATGGATAAAGGAAATCACTCTGCCTTAAACAAATTCATTCTTCAGGGACTGACAACCCAAAAATGCAACTTCCTCTTTTTATGACTTTCCTGTTGGCTTATGTTGTCACTGTAATAGGGAATCTTGGGATGATTATATTAATCTGTGCTGAATCCCAACTTCATAACCCCATGTATTTTTTCCTTGGTAACCTCTCCTTTGTTGACCTCTGCTGCTCCTCCGTCATTGCCCCTCAAATGCTGGCTAACCTCTTAGCAAAGATTAAAACAATTTCCTATAATGCTTGTGCTATACAGCTGTTTTTATTTGCTACGTTGACAGATTTGGAGTGCCTTCTGCTAGCTCTCATGGCCTATGATCGCTACATGGCCATCTGCAAGCCACTTCGCTATCCAGTTGTGATGTCCAAGAAGCTCTGTACACAGCTGATGGCTATAGCGTACTTCCTAGGCGTGGTAGATGCACTGATACATACTTGTAGCACATTCCGACTGCCATTCTGCAGATCTAATGTCATCAACCATTTCTTCTGTGATGAACCCCCACTCCTGGTGCTCTCCTGCTCTGACACATCCATCAATGGGATTATGATATTTATCTTTGTTGGCTGCATTGAAGCAAGCAGCATTGGTATGATTCTTGTTTCCTATGTTTACATCTTGGTCACAATCCTGAGAATGCACTGTGCAGAAGGCAGGCGCAAAGCCTTTTCCACATGTGCCTCCCATCTAATAGCTGTTGGCTTATACAGTATCACGGAACAATGCTCTTCATGTATTTTCGCCCCAGCTCCAGCTACTCCATGGACCAAGACAAATGGGCTTCTGTGTTCTATACTGTCATAATCCCTATGCTCAACCCTCTGATCTACAGCCTGAGGAACAAGGACGTGAAAGATGCCCTGTCAAAGGTGCTGAGAAATACAGGACTTCGGAAAGACATTAGATGTGCTTCAAAATAACTATGGGCACATCCAAAGAGCAAGAGCATATTGTGAGAAATACAAAATGTTCTTCAGATGATGTTCTGGGCATGTTTTGGAAGCCTCTGAGGACTTAACCAGCAGAATAACAAAACGCATGCTTCTTTAACAGTCAACGTTTGTGTCATTTAGCAGTTGTGTAATGATTCATTTAAGCAATATTATTTAGCTATGTATTTGCCTAAGAAGGCAATCTCAGGCTTCTTTACATGGAATGGTAATTCCATCAGTCCCTCTTCTAACTAATCCAGGTAATGACTGCTGGCTGGATTGGAAGCAAAATGAAACTACTGAGGCCCAAAACAGACATCAGAGACAGGCTGTAATTAGAGTTAAAAGCATGTTAATCTTGCTCAGCAGTAATTGGGACAGTCTATCTGTGTTTGTGAACACCGATTTCAGAAGATTCCCATGCTGACATCCTGAAGACCAGTTACGAAACAAAATAAGCGAATCTGCATCATCCTTGAGGTGAGAGAAGCTCATACTTCGATGATTAATTAAGAATTTTCGTCTCTTGGCTATCTCTAACGTCTTTTTCTGGCCTCGGGGGGGGGGGAACCAAGAAAAAACATTCATTAAATAAAAAAAACATGCAATTAAATAAAAATATTTCCATACATGTAAATGAAAGAAATATGTAAGACACAATGTTTTAAATTCTTAAACTATTTGTGTTTATATGCCACTTTTCTTTCTTTCTTTCTTTCTTTCTTTCTTTCTTTCTTTCTTTCTTTCTTTCTTTCTTTCTTTCTTTGTCTGTCTGTCTGTCTGTCTGTCTGTCTGTCTGTCTGTCTGTCTGTCTGTCTGTCTTCTTTTCTATGAATAGTGAAGACAGTCATTATACTGTAAAAACACAACTTTGATTCCCATGCAGCTGATATTTTATATTGTTTCCAAGGTATTGCTTAACAAATTTGATAGCACTAATAATTTACGATATGGTCTACTGGATAGTTCAGTGTTTTTGGTATCTGGCTGTGGGTCCAGACGCTGGGACTTCTGTGACTCCTTGACAGGGCCTGGACTTGATGATCCACAGGGTCCCTTTCAGCTTTGTCGTTCTAAGATTGATCTGTTACATGAAAGAGCGGTTTCTTTCTATGTCAATAAAAATTAACTTGGTTCTGATTCTATCTACCCTTTCATTATTCTTTCCATTTCTCTCTTACTGACATTTTAAACTATTTTCCTTCCAGCCAAGATGAAAACTCATTCACAAAACTAATGATCTCCAGTTTAGTTTGTTTACAGTTTATTAGTATTACAAGTATTGTCATTACAATTATTATTATTATAACAGTTTATTATTTATTTACAATTTATTGTATCAATTACAATTTATATTAATCCAAATTAGAGATGGGCATGAACTGGGGAAATGGCAGTTCATGCTGGTTCATGTCTCATGGCTACGCAACAAACTATGAACCATAAACCTTCACAAATGTTCAAATGAAATAAACCCTTTTGTGTGATTCAGGACTTCTGGGAGCTGTAGAACAGCCCCTGCATGGTTTAGAAATGTCAGACTTCCACAGTTTTTAGCGGATTCTCCTCTCCCTTCCAAGTTTAATGAATATTGGGTTTGGTACATCTGAGTTATAGCAGCTGGTTAAAGAGCACTTTCCTGGAGGCACCTGAGGGCTGTAACTCAGTCGTCCAAAATCCAATCTTCACCAAAATTGGAGGAGGTGATGGGCAGGAGGATCAGCCCAAGAGTCAGTCCAGGTTTGTAGCAATGGGGGAGGAGGAAGAGGCAACAGGACCATGTAGGGAGGTGACAAGGGCCTGTGGGAAGGGGGAGGCTGTGAGGGTGGGGGGTGTCAGTGTAACAAACCAACAAACCCGTTTGTGGTTCATTTATTTAAACAGTTTGGAGGGCTCACGGTTCGTGGGTAGCCGCAAACTATGAAACACCACGAACCACCATTTTTGTGGATTGTGCTCATCTCTAGTCACCAGTCAATTGCTTATGGAAAGTCTTAAGGACCACCACCCCTCCCCCACAACAGTTTTTAAGACACTGAGAGACACAGTGCAGCATTTTCATTTAAAACTCCTTCCTGCTGCCTTTTTCTCACAGCACTCTGTGCCAGTGTCATTTTTTTCCTGTCAGCTTGGAAAAATACCAATAGTTTTACATGACATGGGAATGTTCAGATACGATGGCCAAAGAAAATATTTATGATGAACAGAATTCAGAGTATTTTAAAAATTATTTAAAATTTTTAATTATACTTTTAATAATTACTACTTGTCAGCAAACCCAGAGACAAGAATATTGCTACACCTTATTAAGTATGTGTGCTTCCAGTTAGTTTCTGGTTTCAAATTAAAGTGCTGATTCTAACATTGAATGCCAAAGAGGCACAAAAGTAGGTTGCCAAAAAGACCATGGTTTCCTTTTTTTGTCTGAGTGAACCCTATGATTCACAGTCAGCAGGTTCGTTCTGGATGCCTCTACCAAGTGAAGTGAGGGGAATGAAATTGGGGAGAAGGCCTTTTAGCAGCCTTTTCATGTATTCATATGGTGTCATCTTGGGAGCGCTCAGACAGAGACTCTTCTGTTCTGTTCATCCAAACTTTTAAAGCAGTTCATGTTTTATATTTGGGGCCTAAGCCAATGGTGAGGAAAATTTTGTCCTCACCACATTCTTTTCAGGGATGGTGGCCAGAGGACACATTCTGGTCTAAGCCAATGGTGAGGAAAATTTTGTCCTCCTACAAAGGCCACATTCTTTTGAGGGATGGTGGCCAGGGGACACATTCTGGTGGTGGGTGATGCTGAAACAAAAAAGGGGCAGGACTACAAATTATACACATAGCCTCTCTCCTGCATCTCACATTCGCAAACTCATTTTTTATATGCCTATTATATATTCTCTCACATACCTTTCTCTGTCCCTCCCATGTAACACATACACCCGTGTATACATACTCTACCACATTTTCTCTCACATATCCTCCATATTATCTTCCTAGAATATAAAATAGATGGGAAATTCGTTGCATTTCACATTGTCAAGTGCTTGGGATTTTCTTTGGAACTATATACCTGGTTCCGACTTATGTCTTGCAATAAACTGCAGTTTGTCATGCCACATTTTAAACCAGCAATAAGTGGTATGTGGTGTTTTTTTAAAGAAAGCATTTGATTCCCTGTCACACAGTGTCTTGGTTTTCTGGTGGGTGTGCTCCATTTCAGGCTTCACACATGTCCGTTCTCATAGATGGCTGCTGTGTGAGTGTGCACTTCCTTTTTCCTCAGATTCTCATTTGTCCTTCTGTTTTGTATCGTTTTTTTTCTCCACCCCACCATCAGAACCTGGCCTTAACTCAATCATGCTATTTAATCTGTGTCCTAACATACCAGTGTTCAGAGGGTACTTGGTTTTTCGCTCCTTAGCATTGACTGTGAGTGTCATCACAAGAACATGTCAGTAAAATAACATTAAAATAATAACTGGCCCTGGCTCAAGACCAGGGCTAGCTTCTGGCCTCATTACAGGTTGGACTTACTGGGTGCCTTCCCTGGCACTATGATGGCATGAGGGAAAAAGGGGCATAGTATTGTCATGGATCATCACAACCTCCTCATCCTCCTCAGGCATCATTGACACAAAGGAAATGAGTATGCCACATATCATGCAAGACATACTTGACTGAGAAAGGTGTGGCTTTGCTGAATCTCTTAACAAGTCTACACAGGAGTGGCAGGTATCACAACAATGCACTGCAAGCCATAAGATGGCAGAAGGGGAGAAAGTATGAACAGTATGGAAGGAACATGTGATAATTAGCAGTGGGAACCTCAAGCAGAAGAAATTAGTCTATGTCACTAAGCAATGTGATAATACACAATCTTTCTCACCATTCCCACATGCAAGCATGTATGTGCTTTGTGGTGGGAAGGCCCTCCCCCATCACTACTCCCTGCAGCATTAAGAAATCTGGTTATGAGCCCATTTCTCCTGTAACTGTTATTGAGGGAAACATCCTTCAATTTCAAACGAGAGCATTCCTATTTTAATTCTTAATTCTACAGGATGATACTGTCCTTAGGGATTTTCTCCAAAGAGAATTTTTAATTGAGGCACTCTTTATTGTGTAGACCAGTGGTTCCCAACCTTGGGTCCCTGGATGACTACAGCTCCCCCAAATCCTGGTCAACACACCTAGTGGTGATGGCTTCTTGAAAGTTGTAGTCCAAGAATGTCTGGGGACACAAGGTTCAGAAGCATTGATCTAGAGTGATGATCATATCACTTCCTAGACTTTCTTTTGGTGAGCATGCAGACCTGCAAGAAAAATGGCTAAATCTGTTTCAAGCAGGATAATACCTTCTTCCACTTCACACTCTCCTTCTAAGTTACTAATGGAGGCAAACCCAGGGTTTAGCCTAGCTGTTTCTACGGAACAGTGACTCTCAAGCATTATTCTATACGTTTGCACAACTAGCAATATTAATCATACAGGACATGTTTTCATGACAGTGGTCCTCATGAAAACACTCTAGCTGACAGATAACAATCTGTTGTTTTATACCAATACAGTAATTTTTATTTATTCTAGATTTCTTCCCTTCATTACAATATTTGTTAACTATTCCTTGCCAATATTTCAAATCATCCTCTGTTAACTGCATTGGTAACATTCTAAATAAAAAATTAATTTTTGGTAGAATTTTCATTTTTACCAATGCAATCTTTCCGAACCAAGATAACTTAAATTTACCATATTCCTGTAGTTTCTTATTAATTACTTCCTTTAGTTTGTTATAATTAGACTCCTTTATTTTTTGAATATTTTTTGCTAAATCTATTCCTAAGTATTTAATTGTTTTACATATTTTAAAATCATGTTTTTCAGCAAACCTTTCTTGTTCCATTCTACTATAATTAAACAACATTAATTCAGGTTTTTGCCAATTTATGCTTAATCCGGTTATTTTTCCAAATATTTCTAAGTGGGTTTTAATTTTATCTATACATTCTGAAGGATTTTTCACTGTCAATAAGGAATCATCCGCAAATAAATTAATCTTT